AACGATAGCAGAAAATAGCTATCGAAACGTCAAGGTAATTTTTCAAATTAATTTCTCTACTAATTGGAATTTTCTCTTACAGCTTGAGCCTAAGTTTGTCGCAGGATACCCTCTAGGTGATAGTTCTTGATTAGTTTTTGATAAATAATTCGTTCTTATTGCGAAATAGGAGCACTATTTATCAATCTGTAATAAAAGACGTGAGAAAATTCTGTCTTTTTTAAAGACAAAAATTTTTGAGGCAAAATACCCAAAAAGAAGTTTGTAAAAAATGAATCCCCCTCAACAATATAGAATTTATCTACTACCTAACTGTTCTTTCTTGTAAACACCTTTATTTTATTAAAAATCAAATCTAGAATATTAACTATTAATCAGAACATTTCTACAGTTTTTACACATCATCATTATTACAAGTCACGTTGTGAGAGGGTAAAATCAAAGTTTAAATTGCTAACAAAATATATAATAGCCTAAAAATATATGGGAACACCCTGTGTATTTTAGGAATTCCGTGTTGATATCCGCCGAATATTTATATATGATATTTTGTTTGCACATCTGTTAGGTTTAATGCAATACTTGTGGATATAGGCGGCTATTTTTAAAGATGAGTTAGTGCACCTTTATTCGTGATTTCGGCAAATCAATGGACAGTCCAAAATTAAATCGGGGGGATTCTAGAAAAAAATCAAAAGTCGCGTATAAAATTTCAGTTGTATGGAATGTAGTTTATATTCAAATTTTGTTTATATGGCACTGGTTTTGAAAAATCTCTGAATATTTATCAATTATATTCATTTTGATACAACAACTAGGTCTAGTATCAAAAACATTGTTTCTATGTGCTATTTAAAAGTTAGGAGTAAATCGCAAGCGATTATCGAAGTTTCTAATACTAGGAATGACTCTCTAAGTAAACTAAATGTTGAGATGTTCTCTGATAGTAGCAGTAGTAGAACATAATCTAGCACTGTTAGATCTCGCGATTTTTTTCGAAAATCGGCATCTAGCAAAAAAACCTGTAACTAGTGAAGTGCACATTGAATGAGACTAAAATCTGCAAATCTAGTGATTTCGCGATTTTAAAAATGTTGTGTGGTCAGTGCTCGGAAGAAAACGCCGACATCATTGTTGACCTTTTAGCTAAAGTTGGAAGTACTTGCACTTACTGTTATGAGGTAAGTCGTTATTACTGGCCATATACTACCAAAACATCATTGTTGTTAATGTGCGTCAGAAGCGTACAAAATCTATTAATATTCCACACCATCATTTATTTATATATCAAGGGCAATTCATGTTTATTTGTGAGGCATAAGGATACGAACTTTTACTTAATTGTTTAACGAATTAAAATTAATTCGATTTAGAGCAGGAACAAGTGAGTTATTCACTAAAACACTTATTGTGTTCGCTTTTGTTGAATTGTCTCCCACATTCCTGGCGTGTAGTTTTTGAAGAGGAACGGTTTTCTTGGTAATTGATGTTGTATCTGTGAGTTGAAACGTTTTTTCAATCACGTTCTTAATAAATAGTATTATTTCTGAGAATGTCTTAAACTTTGATAGCATGAGGAATTTCCAAGTGAAAATTTGACTTTGGGCCAGATTTTAAAGACCGTTAACAGCATCCCAATCGAAAACTCAGACGTGGGATCAATACTTTTCTAGTCCCTCATGAGGTGGCAACTGACAAATTAATGATCTATTTCTTAATAATAACGAACTTTTAATGAATATTGGTCTTGCAGTTTTTTTTATGTCCAGAACTGACTGGTTACACTCGATTATTACACATTTTTTACATTACATTATCACACATTTTTTCTTTAATAATTTTATTTCTCTGTCTAGTTTGGACATTCTTAAATCTATATGGGTTTCTCTTTAATTTTCGGACTAACAAAGAATGTTTTCAAACACTGAATAGAAGCAATTACTTCCCTATCTAGTGGAAAATGTCTGCTATTTTTACGGCTCACAAAATTCTGCAGATGTTAACAGGAATAAATACATAAAATTTAAGCAAGCCAGTTTAATATACAGCGAGAAGTATTTTTTTATTTTAGTGATGAGGAGGTAACTTTGAGTGTTTTTATGAATATGTATTGTTCTTTCACCAAAGATAAGAACTTACAACTAACTAACTTACAAATCTTTAACGAAAAATCAGTATATTGTATTTCTTAGTATAAATTATAATTCAGTATAAACACAAATTTTCATTTTGAATGAAATAAAACATGTTTAGTCTCATTACAGAACACCTAAGTTCTGACTGAGTTCAACTATACATAAATAACAAATCAATCGAAGAGAAATGTTTCCGACAATCAAATTAAAATTATTTCCCCTTGCCTTCATTATTCTAGTTTGTGTCCATCTACAAAACAAACGTACTGTCTGAAAATGTTCCTAATGGTTCTAATCTAATATCAGTTTCGTTCACCCTGTCTGAAATGGCACTCCTCAAGCCTATCGATTATTTTCTTTAATAAGATGCATGTAAACACTAGCGTGGCTAGAATTTAATGCCTGTTTCAGGGATAGGTAGAAGCATTAAAAAATTACTTTTTCTGTGTAATCAATTTTTTATTCAAACCATCAGTTTTCTAATTAACAACTGACATCATTTCCATCATAAATAATTCAGTGTAGTAACTTTTGTTTTTATTTCTACCATCGCTTTTGCCCATTCCTAGCTAACAGCCCAATTAAGCAAAATTAATTACATAATATTTTATAGATAAGTTCTATATTGTTGAGGAGGATTCATTTTTTTACAAACTTCTTGTGTGCTTGCGAAATAGGAGCACTATTTATCAATCTGTAATAGAAGACGTGAGGAAATTCTGTCTTTTTTAAAGACAAAAATTTTTGAGGCGAAATACCCAACAAGAAGTTTGTAAAATAATATTTTATATTGTAATTTGTTCGCTTATTTTCTTGAATGCTTCCAAATATTCTCATGTAATTTTCTTACAACTTCCACATAACAGTTAGTTGATTTGGGAATGTATTCGATCTAGACATAGACAAACGATTGTCCTTAACATACTTGAGATTTTTCGTTAGATAATTTTTTCCATAAATTCACTGATAGTAATTGTAGGTTGTAGAAAATATAGAGCAACATGAGTACCTGCAGGTCATTCCAACGCAATGTTAGAAGTATTAGCTTCAATTAATTATACGATTATTTTGAAATAATTGCATTATGACGAGGTGTTTTATGGGCTTCGCACTTTGTATGTTTCTCTCGGGACGTTCGATAAATGAAAGCCCGCAATCTTTTTCGGATTATTTATTAGATAGTTGCAACTACTCTATTCAAATTTGTAATATTTTGAAATATTTTAAATCATTGACGCTTTGTTGCAGTTATTACTGTTTTATTTGCAACGGCATCAGGAAGGGCAAACTAATTTCGCTAAAAATGATAGTGTAGTTTCTCATGGTAAATTAAAACAATTAACTTAAAATGCTGAATTATGATTAAAGTTGAAAAAAATTATTTAATTAATTTTCCTTCAGAATCATCTCACTTTCTCTAGCACTAACAATGTGCGAGGAAAAAATCATTTAAATATGTTGATCTCAACCAGCGAATAATTGACCATTTATCTTTACGAGCTTTGTTTAAAGTAGAAATTTTAAGAAAGCCAATTAAGAAGAAAAAGTAATCGCTCCTAATAAAATGTTTGCCATTAGACTATATTAATTAATGCAGTGGGAATCTTTGCTAAGCTTGAATTGCTCATTCAGAAAATATCATGATATATGCAGAACAATTCGACGACGTTGAGAATACCTTATAATCCTTACATCATAATAAAGACTTTGTGAATGTAATTTGCTGTTTGGCAAATGCAAAATGTTTTGTTGGTATGTTAATAGTGGCATGGAAGTTATTTTTAACCGGATGCAATTTTTCAACTATTTGCGTAACGTGTATAATCAAGAATGCATATGTTCAATTGTTGATGGAAAACTAATATTTCCAACATCGGACCTGGATATTGGGCAGACAATACAAAATGTTCCCTTTGTATATAAAATGTAGTGGATCAGATCAACTTCAGCGATAAAATAGATTAAAAAATTAAGAAACCCTGAGTATCCACCATACAATTCATCCAACGGATTTGCATTGGATAAGAATTACTTAAAGATCACGGGAGTGATGAAGTGGGAGAATAACATTATGAAACACGTAATTCACACAACTGTATCAAGTAAGTATTTTTGCCTAATGAGACAAACTATGCACTTCCGCTTACTAATCCTCAACTAGAGTTTGGAAAAAAAAACTTTATGTTTTATAAAACGAAGTAGAAATGCAATTTGGTTTTATTTTGGTAATTAAACCAAAAGTTTACTTAGCAACAAGGGCTGATTGGTCAATGGCCCTACCAAGAAAAATAACAGTATAAGTGTAACACAACAAAGTGGAATCTGGCTCATTATTGCCTAGAGATGAGAAAATTTCCAGAAGTTCGAGCTCGGAATGAAACTTTTCTGCGAGGTTTGTATTTTATTTACAATTATTATAATTATTGTTTAAACAAAGAACTCAATAAAGGATATTGGGCTTTATTAGGGAGCGTGATGTTAGTTGATGAAAGGTGCTTATTTAGGGGGTTTATCGGTCAATAGATAGTAAGTAGTAGAAATAAAAACTCTATTTTTGTTGGGTCAACGTTTCGGCTGTACTTAAGCTATCTTAAGGGCTCTAAATGGGAAAACAGAGTGGCTTCAGTAGCAAATATAGTAAAAATATACTAAAAAAAATAGCCGTCAATAAAAGGTATTCGCTTAGTCGTAGCTAATATTAAATAAAGACATGAATTTAGTCGGCAGTTAATGACCAAATCAGAAATCATGCAAGAATTAAA